TGACTGGAAGCTAGCCAGTGTTATTCCAGTCTACAAAAAGGGCACGAGGGAAGACCCAGGGAACAACAGGCGTGTTAGTCCGACCTCATTTCCTGGCAAAATTATGGAGATCATCCTACTGGGTACTATTGAAAGGCATTTAAAGAATAATGTAGTCATCAGGCACAGTCAAGATGGGTTCACAAAGGGAAAGTCCTGTTTACTAATTCAATATCTTTCTGTGATGAGGTCACCCTCCCAGTGGATGAAGGGAAGGCGTTGGATGTCGTTTTTCTGGATTTTAGTAAGGCTTTTGATACTGTCCCTCACAGCATCCTTCTGGACAAGTTGTCCAACTGTGGGATGAGTGGATTCATGGTACTCTGGGTGAAGAACTGTCTGAAAGGCACGGCTCAAATGGTTGTCGTTCAAGGGCAGGTTGGATGGGGCTTTGAGCAACCTGGCCTAGTGGGAGATGTCCCTGCCCGTGGCAGGGAGGTTGGAACTAGATGATCTTTAAGATCCCGTCCAACCTAAACCGTTCTATGATTCTATGGATGGGGCTACACATGTCTGTCAACCGGTCACCAGCGCTGTTCCTCAAGGTTCAGTTCTAGGGCCAGTTCTGTTCAGTATATTTATCAGCAATCTGGATGCAGAAGTTGAATGCACAATAAGCAAGTTTGTTGATGATACCAACAAACTTGGAGGAGCTGTTGACTCTTGAGGGATGAGAGGCCTTGCAGAGGGATCTAGATTGATTCGAGCATCAGGCAATCATTAATAACATGAAATTGAACAAGTCCAAGTGCTGAATTCTGCCCCTAGGACAGAGTAACACCAGACACAAGTATAAACTGGGAGAGGAGCGTCTGGAGAGCAGTCCTGCAGAAAGGGATCTGGGGGTGCTGGTTGACAGCAGGCTCAATATGTGTCAGCCATGTGCTTTGGCAGCCACAAGGGCAAATCACATCCTGGGGTGCATCAAACAGTATAACCAGTCACTCAAAAGAGGTGATTATCCCTATGTATTCAGTGTTGGTGCCGTGAACCAGTCACTCGAAAGAGGTGATTATCCCTACGTATTCAGTGTTGGTGCCGTGTCACCTCGAGTACTGTGTGCAGTTCTGGGCCCCACCATTTAAGAAGGATGTTAAGGTCCTTGAATGTGTCCAGAGGAGGGCAACAAAGCTGGTGGCGACAAACATGGCTGGAAGACATGTCCTATGAGGAGCAGCTAAGGACTTTGGGCTTGTCTAGTTTGGAGAAAAGAAGGCTGAGGGATGACCTCATGGCTCTCTACAGCTTCCTCTAAACCTTCCAGAGGTTTAGACTAGACATTAGGAAGGATTCCTTCCTGAGGGGTGACCTCATGGCTCTCTACAGCTTTCTGCAGAGGGGAAGTGGAGAGGGAGGTGCTGATCTCCTCTCCCTGGTGTCCAGTGATAGGACACGTGGAAATGATTCAAAGCTGCCTCAGAGGAGGTTTAGACTAGACATGAGGAAGGATTCCTTTACTGAGGGGCTGGTCAAACACTGGAACAGGCTTCCTAGAGAGGTGCCTAGAGAGATGCCCCAAGCCTTTCAGTGTTTGAGGGGCATTTGGACAATGCCCTTAATAATTTGCTTGATCAGCCCTGAGTTGGTCAGGCAGTTGGATTAGATGATTGTTGTGGGTCCCTTCCAACTGAATAGTCTATTCTAAGTCTATTCTTCCCACAGTGCTGTTGCTCACCTGTGAGGTAGGAGAGGTGATCTCAATCGCTTTGGCACTGTGTACCAAGGGCTCTATCTATTGAGACAGAAGAACTGATAGCCTGGTCTCATGCCAAGCTCATTCCTGTGGTAGGGATGGTGGAGCCACACTTAATAACCGTAGTGTATGTGGGAAGCAAGGTACACCCAGCCTGCTCCAAATTATTTAAACACAACATGAAACAACCTGAAGAGATCAGGCATTCTGTCCCCCTACTCTGTGGTGAACCGAATTTGGTACTTCAACGGGTTACCACCCCTTCAAAGCTCTTAAGATTTGTGCCGTCAGAGTGATTATGTAAAGCTCGGTCTGGGTCATGACTTAGAGGCAATGTAAAGCCTTGGTGCAGCAGCACAGATACTGCTTTCTTTCTCTTATCACTGTATGTTTATACTGTTTCATTTGTGGTTTTAGGACATTTAATCAAACTGTTGGAACTTACGAGGAGCTTCAAACTTACCTTGAAGGCTACGTGGCTAATCTGGCCCAGGCTGATGAAAAGCGACATGCAAAGTAAGTCAGGTCATTTGTTAGGCACATCTTTAGTAGGTAATCATAAAAAAGAGTAATGGATATTTAAGTAGAATCGCGGATGGTAGCTGACGGAGATGGAACCCTAGGAATGACAGCAGTCACTGTAATAAAACTGGATATGCTTATAGAGTCTCAAGAAATTTTTTCTGAAACAAAAATTACATAGAATCTCAGTATATTGACTTCCAACCAAGAATTCACTCTATCCCAAGAAAACTGAGTGCAGAAAAGAAGTGAAAGCGTGCTCAAATAATTTTTTGCATTCTGACGGTAAAGTCTTTAGCTGGTAAAACCCCTAAAGGTCAACTTTAACTCACAACTGAGTTAATGAAACTGTATTACTGTACAAAAGACTAATTGCCATTTCAAATAGAAATAAGCAGACATAAAAGAAACAGTTTGTTTTTAATGTTTCAGTGTAGCACTGGTGCTATTAAAGAGTTTGCTTTTAGTTGTGAACCACACTTTTAGTTTATCTGCCTCTAATTTGAACCTGAGCACTATTGGAAGAGTAGCAGAGTATGTTTTTCTTCTGTTTAGAACTATACCTGCATTTTTATTTCTGATAATTCCACTGGAACTGGTACACAGTCCTTTAGAGATTCGTTCTCCAACTTGGAGTCCCCAGTTTCACAGCTGACTGCATAATTGGGAACATCACCATGGATCAGCTCTTGGTGAAAACACTGTTGATTGTACTCAGTGAACTTCAGTAGCATTTCACTTCTAATTTACTTCCATGGGATGTCCAGAAATAAAGTGCTTCCGCATAAAATAAAATTAAGATTCTATTAGGAAATAAGGCAGCTTTTCTTTTGTTTTCTTTTATAGGAGTATTAAAGTACTGTGATGCAGGTTGCTGGCAAGGAAAGCACTAACCTATATTAATTTTTTTTAATGCAGAGGAAGATCCTTCTGTGGACAGTTGACCAAAGAGGTGTCTTTGGAGATGATAGAGCTCAAGGAGAAAGTAGCCCAGTTCCCTCCTTCCCCATTTCAGAATTTAGAAGTTGTCACAACTCTGGGTGTTGGTGGGTTCGGAAGGGTTGAGCTTGTAAGAGTTTGTTTTAAACATATGCAAGTATTTCTCTGTCTTAGATGATTGATTTAACTGCTGAAAAATGTGAAGGATTTTTATATTCTGCATGCTTGTGCCTCTCAGGCAGAGGCAAGTCTATATGAAGCAATGCATAATGAAAAAATATTTTCAAGACTTTGACGTTCAAAGAAACAAATCCGTTCTTGTGTGCCTTCATCTCCTGCTGTTAAAAATATCTTCCTAGTCACTAGATATACATTCATCAGTTTGTGCATTTGGAGTTTACAGAAGTGCCAACCTTCATTGTGTTCCCTGAATTGCAGGCCTTTTCCCAAGATTCTGCCTGGACCCGAAGTAATCTCCAGCATCACATAGCCTGTGTTGTTAGAATTGCTTCGGTATGCCCCACAGCAACTATAATCAGTGTGATCTAGCTCTGAGCTGTGTTGACTTTGAAATTTCCAACAATATGTAATGACTCTTCTGAGTCATATTCAGTAGCATGAACAGCTGTGTTTCTGAGATGTGAAGAGCCTCATTAGACTAAAGTCTTAAATTCCACTGCCCTCTGTCTGAGTAGCAAAAAAATGGAAAAAATGTGAATGCTTCTTGTGCAGGCTGCAGAATGTAATGGTCAATTAAAGGACACTATGTGATTTTAGTGAAGTCAATAATCCTTTACAGTAGTTAGACCATCAATTGTTTTATTCAAATTCATGCTTCCCAAAACAAATTTCCACACTGGTTGACTACCAGCTTGAGAATTCTACAGCATCACGTGAATAATAAGCTAAAAATTGAATTATCAGCCAGCTGTAGAACACTGATAGCTGCTTCCCTGGTTTTCTGGAAGCTTTGTTTTAGCTTCCATCTTTTTATTGCATATTGGATAGTATTTCAGTGTAATGCAAAATCACTTGTAAGCACTCTTCATAAACTCCCTCTGCTTTTTTTGTTTTGTATTATGCTAGTATTTAGAAATCTTAAATTGAAATTAGGACCCATTGTGGTTTAAACTCATTGTAAAATGTAGTACCTATCCAAACTGCTCCTATTTTGTATACATAAAATGAACACAGTAAATATTTCTTTTCGTTCTAGAAGTGGAGACTGGGACACTAAAAAGTTACAGTTCTGCAGAAAATATGGAATTTGTCTCTCATTACAGTCATCAATTGCAGTCCTGTGCTGTGTTGAAAAAGATGGATATCAGTGTACCTATTGAGAGAAATTGTGGAGTCTCCTTCTCTGGAGACATTCAAAACCCACCTGGATGCGTTCCCTTGTGACCTACTCTAGGTGGTCCTGCTCTGGCAGGGGGGTTGGACTAGATGATCTCCAGAGGTCCCTTCCAACCCCTAACATTATGTGAAAACATCCTTTCTTTGCCTCACCTGTACTCATCATTTTTATTCACAGGTTAAAGTGAAAAATGAGAATGTGGCTTTTGCTATGAAGTGTATAAAGAAGAAGCACATAGTGGACACCAAACAACAAGAGCATGTCTATTCTGAGAAGAAAATCCTTGAGCAGATATGTTCTCCATTCATTGTAAAGTAAGTTGACCATAAGGTTTCCTTGAAAGTTGACTCCCAGTTGACCCACTGGACAGCATTATTAAGAACGAGGTTTGGCCTATATGAGTTCTGGAGAAAAGACATTGCAAACCTCACGTTTTATTTTGCTTTTCCTAAATTGCTGCCATTTGTCTCCACAGACTATATCGCACATTCAAAGATAGTAAGTATGTATACATGCTACTGGAGGCTTGCCTTGGAGGGGAGTTGTGGAGCTTACTGAGAGACAGGTAACAGCAAACAAAGTAGAACCTTGTCCTTTAAAATCACCAGTCAGCTCCATCTGTCTGCTGTCAGTTCTCTGTTCAAGGGCTGTCCAATGAAAAGGTGTTTGGTTCAGTTTCAGACCACAAGTGTTGTACTGAATGTCAGTGAAAAAAATTGTTAATATTCTGGGTGTTATATGTTACCTGGCTAATAAAAGGCATTTTTAGAAGTTAATTGTCTGCAAGGATAGTGATTATTTTTGTTCCAGAGGCAGCTTTGATGAAGCCACTACCAAGTTCTGTGTTGGGTGTGTGACGGAGGCTTTTGACTATCTACATTGCATTGGAATTGTCTACAGAGACCTGAAGCCAGAAAATTTAATTTTGGATGCAGAAGGATATATAAAACTGGTAAGATGTGATCCTTTCGTAGTGTTACCCTTTTGTGCCTGTATCCTGTTTCCTTACAGGGGGTATATAAATAAACAGCATGCAATTATAGTAACAGGATCCTGGAGTTTTTACACTTCAGTAGAACAGAGGGCAGGCTACTCATTGCACAGTAAGAAACAAAGGCATCACAAAGCCGTTGCAAGCCACAGACAAACTGGAGGTTTGTAGCCTCTAAGAACTCTTGCCACAGCATAAACAGCAAAAATAATTTCTCCCAGCAGTCAATCTTAATGTAAAGGCAGGAACCACATTTCTCAGGTGCAGAATTACCTCCCTGTCCAGCCTCACGCAATCATAGGTTCTACATTATCTCTGTAGAGAGGGAACACAGTAAAGAGCTCCTGCCATACTTGACTGGAACCATGAAATGTGCAAACAGAATACGCTCCAAAGAGCTTGAAACAGCCATTCTTGAGGACAATGAGCAGCCTGCCATTTTCCATGGGCTGTAAATCTGTGTCCTCAAGGAAAACATGAGTTGTTCTATCCAAAAGGAAAATAATTGAGGAAATTACTTGTGAGAATAAATGGATCTGTTCTACAATATTTGGTAATCCAGTGGAATTATTTCTTTCTCCTTCACAACAACATTGTGTAATCGTTTTAGCTGTACACTGGCAACTCTGAGATCTTTGCAAGAGGTGAGGAAGCAATTAAGACCTTAAGGCTTCCCAGTCCAAAACACCTCTGCATTATGCAGCATATGTTGATTTTGATCAGGTTGATTTTGGATTTGCAAAGAAGATCGGATCAGGGCAGAAAACCTGGACATTTTGTGGAACCCCTGAGTATGTTGCCCCTGAAGTCATTCTGAGTAAAGGCCATGACTTCAGTGTGGATTTTTGGTCACTTGGGATTCTTGTGTATGAACTCCTTACGGGCAGGTAAGTGCCTCCTACTCCAAGTTCTTACCTTGTTTGTTTTTGAAACATTTTCAAGTTGTTGGGTTTTTTTTTAAATAAACAGTTTAGGTTTTTTTCCCATCAGTAAACAGTGATGACTTGCAAAATGATACCTCTTTTTGCCTCTTATGCATGTCTTACCTTCCATCATTTCAGAAATGCCATAGACAAAGTGTAGGACATATTCTCAGTTCTGGTTTACCTCTCCAAGAAAAGGGCCAGACACCGGCTGTAAGTGGCTGGTGTAGAGCTACTTTAACTGATTATGTTTCCTGTGAGGAACAGCTGACAACAGACTGTTCTTTTCTTCTTTAGTGGGTGATAGGGTACAGTTGGGTGGGTGAACTGTAAGCAGGGCTTGTTCTTTGCCTCCATGCACACTTCCGTGACAACGCTTTGTGAATGCTTAATGGTAGTACAACATAGAAGCTTCTCTGAGTTAGGCTAGAAGCAGAGCTAGCTTAGAGGGACACAAAGGATTATGGTACCTACAGGCAGCTTCTCAGCTTCAAACCTTTCTAATATCTTAGACTGAAAGCCTGAAGTTTGTAAAACTAGAAAGGTGGGGTCTTTTCTATATTCTCAAATATTTACTTTGATGAGAAATGGAGACATCTGCTCTTGACAGCCATTCCGTTTATCAGTGTTGCTTTCTTTTGCTAGTCCACCGTTCTCTGGAGCTGATCAAATGATGACATATAATTTGATTCTCAAAGGCATTGAAAAGCTGGATTTTCCTAAAATAATAACAAGGCGGCCTGAGGATTTGATCCGCAGACTCTGCAGGTAGGAGGGATAGTTTGTGGCAGAGCCTGGTTGTAGATAGATTGAGCTATTCAAGATCCAGACTAGAGTGTTGAACTCCTGATAAGTTCATTTAAAATTGTTATGCCTAGCATGGTCTATTCTGATTATATTCAGTACGCATGCATGCCTCTGAATATGTGTGTCACACCTCTTAGTCTGCAGAGGTATCGTCTACAAATGCAAGCTCTGGGCTTTCTCTATAGCTGTGAATTTTTTCTGAAACACATCTTAAGGAAAACTTACTAAGTGTGGGCTGAGGAAAGAGCTGAAAAATTTAATTTTATTATCAAAAGCAGTGTTTTAAATAAACTTCTAAAATTACTTAGGCATATAGCTCCTACAGAAAACAGGGCACTTAAACACTAACTTACGTCCACTTAAAAATATGCAAAAAGGTGGTATTTCAAAGGGGCCAACATAACTTAGAAGCATTAGTGCATAGTGGCATGCACAACCTGGGGCTGCTGACCCTGCTGACTGTGAACTCCCAGCCCAGTGGGATATCATCCATGGCACTATGAACAGTAGGCACCATGTCTTTGCAGCAGGATTGAAAGGATCTTTGTAGCTGCAAATTTTGGTCTGCGTCCTTTCGTAAGTCATGACCAGACCTGCTGGCCAAGAAAAAAAAGGTGTGCAACTAAAATTCAACCAGCTGATTTCCTTCTGCTGCTTCTCATAGCGGAGTGATACTGTTTTGGCTTCCTGGAAGGTTTCTCCATCCTCAAAAGAAAGGAGCAGTGAGCAATACCTTATTGTATCTCCTTATGAGACCACATGTTGTATGCAAGCTCCATCGCTGTGTAACCGTTAAATGCAAGCAGTTAGGACTTCTAAATGATCTTTTAAGAAAATAAGAATATTTTTAAAATTCTTATCCTTAATCTTTTTCTCTTTTTTTAAGGCAAAACCCTACAGAAAGGTTAGGCAATCTGAGGAATGGAATTAATGACGTCAAGAAGCACAGGTAAATGAAGCAAATGGCTAAGAAGAAAATTTGGGGTTTAATTTGAAAATATTTTTAATATTTTAGAACCCCGTCCAGTAAACACATAAAGCTCCAGGCACTTCCAGGCAGATTGTGTAAGGCAGGTATCTGTTGTTACAGAGTGTATTTGCAACTACAGCAAGCAGCAATATAAACAAATTCTCAGCATGATTATACAGAAACATCATGTTGTTTACTGGTTTTATCACAGGTTGCTAATGTAGGAGTTAAATTCAGTTCTCAGAGAAATCGATTCAGCATCTGCCTTTCAGACCTCCTGACCCTTAAACAGGTGCTTTTTAAGAATGGTAGTTAAGAGCTCCAGAGCAGTATTAGGTTTTTCTGCTCTTTCTTCGCATGATGAAAGTCCTCTGTGGATTAAACATTTCCTGCTTTTTCTTTTTATCTGAGTTGTTTCTAAGTCCTGCAGTTTGTACTTGGGAAAAGAAGTGCTTTGACTTTTCTGCTTGTCTCCCTGCCCTGGTTTTAGCTGGGATAGAGTTAATTTTCTTCATAGTAGCTGGTATAGTGCTGTTTTGGATTGAGAGTGGGAATAATGTTGATAACACACTGATATTTTAGTTGTTGCTGAGCAGTGCTTATACTAAGTCAAGGACTTTTCAGGTTTTCATGCTGCCCTGCCAGCGAGGAGGCTGGAGGTGCACAAGAAGCTGGGAGGGGTCATAGGCAGGACAGCTGACCCAAACTGCCCAAAGAGATATTCCATATCATATGATGCCATGCTCGGCATATAAACCGGGGGAAAGCTGGCTGGGGGTGGGGGCACTGCTTAGGAACAGGATGGGCATTGGTTGGTGGTGAGCAGTTGTTTTTCATTTGAATCACTTGTTTTTCTTGCATTTTACTTCTCTCTTTTTTTGTTATTTTACTTTTCATTCCAAATTAGTATTATTTTTATTTTATTTCAACTATCAAACTGTTATTGCAACCCACAAGTTTTCTTACTCTTATCCTTCTGATTCTCTCCCCCGTCCCACCACAGGGCAGAGTGAGCAAGCGGCTGTGTGGTGCTTAGTTGCCGGCTGTAGTTAAACCACGACATTTCCTCCTCTCATGCTGTTAAGAGGGTGGCACTCCAAGGGGATGCGTAGGTCTTTGCATGGCTGTGCTTATGCATATATTAACCTGCCTGTCACTTTGGCACTTCTATACAGAGGAGATGCAATGTATCTGGTGGTCCTGAAGATCCCCCTTCTACCACTCTCTTGTATGGCAATGACACTGATCAAGTTTCCTCCTGACAACTGTGTTGTCACATGGACAGAAGCTGGTGTGAAAAAATGTCTTGTAGCCCTTGTTCACATTTTTTTCAGCTGTTAATAATACAATGATAGAAAACAATCTGTCTTTTTCTCTTGGTCTCTCCCTGTCTGTCTCTTTTTTTTTAATCAGATGGTTGAGTGGTTTTAACTGGGATGGTCTGAAAGTGAGGAAATTAACATCACCTTTAAAAAGAGAGGTATTGGCTTTGGCTTTCAATATCACAATGCTTTACTAATACGAAGGTGCTTGGCTACAAAGAAACAACTGATGGCAAGAGTGAAATTTCCAAAAGATGCATTTGAATTATTATAGCTCACCATTTTTAGTGAAAATCAAATGAAAGAAAGAGAGACAGTAAGCGATACATAACTTAAATTCAGTTAAATAAGGGTAATATTATTATGACCATGTACTTTGCATTAGATTTTCGCCACTACTAGAATAAATGGTGTTTGGTCAGAAACAAATACCAAAAAACCATATTGTCCTCAGTAATGGGCACATTATTAAGATGCAATGTTCACATTACTGTGCAGAGTACAAATTCCTGTATTCTCTTACTATTGAATTACAGCACACCCTTGAATAAGCTTCTTGTTTCAAATGGCCCATTTCTCTTTGCCCTAAAATGAAAAAGATTGAGGGTAAAGACCTTGAAACTCACTTTGAACTCAGTTTGAAACAAAAAATAATTCTGAGATCTGCTTTGAGTAGCTATCCCGTGAGTGCAGATTTGGTCTTAAACAAATTTGAATAAAATTGTACACAGAGTGGCCCAGTTTTCTTACTGACTTTATAGGGCTTTGGGTGAAATCTAGGATTTGATAGTACTTGGAGAGGCTAATGCCATTGTTCTGTTGTACAATTTAATTACTGGAGGTTTGTCTTTTAAAGAATGAGAAATTGCATCCATTAAAAGAAGTCATTCATATCATGCTAGCCTTTCATTCCTCCACTGGTAGCAATAAAGATGATGCATAATCAATGGAGAGTATTTTCAAAAGTTACCTTCTGAAAAAACTGTTTGTGTTTTTAATGTCCTAGTTATCTGGACCAACTGATTACAGCTACTTTGACACCTATCCACCTGAAGAGGGAATCCCTCCAGATGAACTTTCAGGCTGGGACAAGGATTTCTGATATTTTTTTCTTCCAAGACATTTATAGAGACTCATAGGCATCAGTTCTAAACCTGCTCTCTTGTTTCTTGTTTAAAATCAAATTACACAAGGTTTGTGGCAAACACAATGTTCCCTGAAGGACAGAAGACAGCGTAGCAACCAGAACTTGTTTGGATAACGCACCAAACTCATGCATTCAGTCAGCAGATGTAACCTGAAGGTTTTTTGAAACGCTATGGATCATTTTGCTATTGGAAATATCACTAGCTGATATTTTGCTATTAACAAGGTTACCATATGTCTTTATTTTGAATGGACAGGATGAGTACTGGAAGCCAATAACTGTGGCATTTGTCAACAGCTGACACTATAGGTGTCTATTTTTCATTTTATCTTAAGTCTTCTGTGTGTTTCACTTTTTCCCATAATGGCCAGTATTGCATTGATCCAGAAGCGTGTATAAAAGAGACTTTTACTAAAAGGTTGATTTGATCCAATGCTGCAGCTACAAGGGTATCACTGTGGAAACTGCCTTTCTGTCAGTCTAGTTTTGCAACAGGTTGAATATGTGAGACAGTGTATAACAGATCAAATGAAAATCCAGTAGGAAACAATACAAAATAGAAGTTGCCTGAAGAAGCAGACTGTGGTATATATTTCCTTTACTGCTTCAAGGAGCCATGTCCATTTCTTAAAATGTTTTACTTTTATGTAGTTTGAAGATAAAATAGGTGGACAAAAAACATTCACCTTGCAGGAAAAAGTATGTAAGTATAGAATCATATTTTTTCCTTCAAATATATTTTCAGATTGTTTTCATTGATATTTTGCTGAAATGCTACATTTGTTCACATAAGTGATAAAACTCACCCATTTCAATGTTCCAGTTGGTATCACTAGAAGTGAACTACCATTTAAAATTATATTTCATCAGACATCTTATTAACATATAATTATTCTGAGTTCTACTTTTATAGGAGGGGAGAATAAGAGAGCAAAAACTTGATTTTTTTTTTTTCTCTTGTAAGGAATTCTATTCACAAATCAGTTTAAATACTCTTGTTTTCTTTTGACTGCCTTCCCTTCTCTCTGATGGCTGCTAATGAGGTTTAGAAAGGCAATAAATTCCAAGCTCCTCTCAAAAACAGTACAAAAATATAATTGTGATTTGTAGCCTGGTTTTTCAAGCTCTATCCTCACCTACTTTGATACAAGTAAACAAATTGCTAACTAGAACCATCAAACAACCTAAGCAAGGGAGTCCAACAAACAGCTAAGATAGTCAGGAGGCTGGAGCACGTACCCTGTTTGGAAAGGCTGAGGGAGCTGGGCTTGTTCAGCCTGGAGGAGGGAATGCTTTGCAGGGACCTTACAGCAGCCCACCAGTGCCTACATGGAGGTTGTTGAGAAGACAGAGCCAGGCCCTTTATGGAGCTGCGCAGGAAGGAGTCATCATAAATTGGAACAGGAGATGCTGACCTGACAAAAGGAAAAAAGTGTTTCCCCAGTGAAGCAGGATCCCAGTCAGGTTTTGCAATCTCCTTCCTTTTAAGTTTTCAAGACAGGATCAGACAGAGCCTCAAGCAATCCAGTCTGGATTCAGTGTTGACCCTTCTTTCCAGGAGGTTGGACTAGAGACCTCCCAAAGTCCCTTCCAGCCTGGGTGATTCTACATTTCTAGGAATTAGTTTTATTTTTCAGCCATTTGTATAATCAGAGTATAGCACAATGCATATTCCCCTCTGAGTTTATATATGCATGGGCTTTGCCACTTAACCTTAAATTGTTAGAACATGAGAATTAGTTTGAGATGTTGATTGGATAATAAATGCAGTTGGATGTTGTGCAAAATTCTGTTCCTCTCTGTTAGGAACCACAAATGCTGTAGAAACAGGGATGTTCCTGGATGTCATGCTGGGCTTATGGGATTGATGCATCTGCAACCCATGCTAGGATTTGTTTCAGCTCCCCCTGAGACCAATCTAAATTTCAATATTGAAGCTGCCACAGCACACTGAATTTCACATGCTGAATGGAAAGCCTCACAGGGAACATGGAATGTGTGCTCAGGGTTTAGTTACCCACGAATGCTGGCTAGACTTCCTAGCTGCTGGTCATGACTTATCCCAACTGAGGAGGGAGGGACTGCCATAGGGGCTGTTCCATTGTTTGTTCCATGGTCACAATTGTTTTTTACTGCTGGGTGGCCATTGTTTTGACAGCAAATCAATTTAAATATTTTGTACAACATTCAGTCCAAATAAAGGCAGTAGAATATTTTCCACTGAATTTAATGAAGGTTGACTGAGCCCTTGGAGGAAGACACTACATGTTTAGCTGGTTTTGTTTCCCTGCCTGGTTGTAAACTGTTGTGGAAATCTGCAGTCAGCAAAGCGTGAGCAAAACAGTGATAAGTATATCCAGACAGAGAGGGTAGAGCAAAGGCTGTAAGCTGGGACTGTAGATGCTTTAGACACTTGCAACTAACTCTTTAGCATCACCAAAGACCAGATTTTCTTTTCACGATTTGGACAAGCACTAGACATTACGTATGTCTGTTTCTCTGTGTGTCTGTTTGTCTTTATCTCATAAATATTCTTATTACAGTCAAAATAGTACTGTGCCAAGTTTTATAAAAAGGTCTTAAATGTATTTTTCTGTTGCATTATAGGTGGTTATATATATTTTTTTAAACAAAGTATATATATATATGTGTGTGTATGTGTGTTTTTAAAGTGAAGAAATAGCCGTATGATAAGTGCAGTTAGCGTTAAGTCTGTGCAGCTGTAGAATATATTTTCTTTATAAAGCTCGTCTAATTTGCAGTGTATGAAAATAAAGTAAGCTTACAGTGCAATGGGCAGGACATTCATTTTTTTACAATCACATTCCATACAGCAGTCTGGAATCTTATCCCTGAATTATACTTCTTGTCCACATGATTCAGAAGAGACTGAGGCAGAAAAGAATACCCTGGAGAGAGTCACTGATGTAATTTCTTGCAGCATGTCCCCCGTTCAGACTATGTTTTCCCTAATGGATGTAGAGAAAATGAATGCATAAGAAGCCACAATAAATGAGGTCACAGATCATTTTGTATTTATGTAGAGTTCCCAGGTACATTTCATTTATTTTATTTCTGGTATGTATGCAGTTGACTGAGCTGAAGTTTTCCAGAAATAGAAGCACAAGCTGATACGGTACAGGCTAAACATTACTTGAACTAACCCAAACTGTCTTTAACAGACAGATGTACTTATGCTGTTGTAAAACAAAAGGATAAATAAGCGATTCATGCTTAGGTAGTTTCAAAGTGCAGGAGATCATGGCAGAATTGAATGTACAGTTAAGATGATGATCAAATTATGGTTGTTGTTGCATTTTCTAAATTAAGGTAAGCGAAAAACAGCTTTTGACATTCAGGTTTTGGGCATGCTGTGGATATGTTAGTAATTGTCTGGAGTTCTGTCCTTGGTGTTCTTATCTGTATTTTGCCTTTCTGTCTTGTCAGCTTTGCTTTTATTGTGTGGCTCCCTGAGAAATCCAGCTATAGCTATGCTTTTTTCCCTGTACTTCTGCCATAAGAGAACATGACGATTCTTCCTGACAGAGGACAGAGATAAGGAGCAGTTAGCCTGGGCTGGGCAGATGGAAGCACCTTTCCCCAACTACCATATCAGAGTAGAGATGCAGGTGAGTGCTTCAGAGAGACATGTAGGCAGGAGCAGCAGCAGAGTGAAAGAGAAAATTCCCAGGTGTGTGATAATTCCATCCAGTTTCTAGTGCAAGTGATGAACTTTCACCGTATCCTCACAGCTGCCCCTTCAAGGCTTTAAGGAGGGTGAGGATGGCCACCCCAATGCCTGAAAGCATCATCTGTTAACAGAAAGGGGAAGAAGTAACCTCAGTGCCTCAGATGTTTGAATTCATCCATAAAGGGGTGTGGGGTGGATGTTACAGAGTGTCAGCCTGTAAGATTTTTGCATTGAATGAGAGGAAACGGTTGTCAGGGCATTTAGAGAATGTCTGTGATTTCAGGCAGGATTTAACAGGTCTCACTTGCAATGAAAAGCATCCGAGATGCCTTTCTCCTTACACTACTCAACAAGCTATCTCTGAACAGACACAGCTTTCCCCTGCTGTGGTCCCCAAGGACCTTGCCAGTGTAGTGGGAAGAAAAATTTTTGTCTATTTGACAAAGTGGAAGCTGAAGCCCTGAGAGATTTAAGCCGCTTGGTGATTTTTCAAGGTCCTCTAGACAGCTGTGTGTAGCTTTGGGGTTTAGACAGCTTTGACAGTTTGACAATTTGGCTTCCTCAAGATTATGTAGAAAGTGTGGGAATGAAGAGACAATCAAAGCCAGCATTCTCACCTGTAGCATAGCACACTGCTCTAAATTCATTCTCCCTTCCCATTTTTTGCAAGGCAGCACAAGGCTGGTGCTCTGTATCTCTTTGAGTTCCTTGTGCTTGAATGCTGTAGCACAGTTTATTTTGTTTCCTGACATGGGTTTGAGCATTTCTGATTTACTTCTTTACTTCTTCATCTAGGGCTAAACAACCAGGTGTAAATCAAAAGATTCAAACAGGCGCACACACCTGAATATGCCCGTTACAGAACATTGTTTCCCAGTTTCATGTCTCACTGCTTAAGTGTCTGCATGTCCACACTCAGATAACTGATTCCTGTGGATATGGTGCTCTTCAAGTACATAAGATCTGTTGAGGCGAAAGGCCTAGGAAAATGAATTTGCACCACATTATGATTAACTATTTTGCGTGTGGTGCCGTTTTAGGGAGAGATGGAAGGCAGTGCTAGAGGCAGAATGCAGTGTCAGTAAAACCAGATAAGTCCTCCCAAAGGTAGAAAGCAAGGAGGAGGTTGTGCAGAGAGCAGACGTGAAGATGTGAAATTAAATGCATCAGCTGCGACCTGTCGTCCTTGAACCTTTATGTCCCAACCCTGTGGCTTGGGAACCTGGATCACCTCCAGGCAAGAGGGCAGGGTGTTATTCTGGGACCCAAGTTTACTTGCTAGGTTGGGCCAGTGGGGAACTGAGCAGTCAGAAGCATCTTTTCCCTTCAGGGGTCAGAGTCTCCACTCTTGTCACCTTCTTGTAATCAGAGGCAAGAGATGAGGGCCTGGTTCTTCTGTAAATTGTAAGCAAGATGATGCTAGACTGGGAGTTAC